AAAAATTTTAAAAAAAGCTTTGAAAAATTTTACGTCTTTAACTGAGAAGGAAAATGAGACCGTTCAGGACTTTTTTCAAACAAATCGATTTTTTGCGAGACCAAGTTCCGAGACATTGTCAGAACAATTAAGAATTATAGCTACAGAAATTTTTATAGAGAAACCTAAAAAACTGATTTTAAAAATTCGGGAAGGTGTATCACCAGCAAAATATGCTGATTTCTGGAATTATTGCGACTTTGACGTTCTCTTGGATATGCAGACCCCTACTGCTACAAAAATCGTTAATTGCTTGGTAACTGATTGTCATCTAACAAATGAAGAAAATGATATATTACATTATTTTACCATGTACATTCACTGTCTTGACAAAGATAAATTGAAAGGTTTAATATTCTTAATTACTGGGTCTTTCCTTATGCCAATGCATATTGATGTAAAATTCAATGACACAGTGGGATTAAGTCAAAGACCCATGTTTAGTACATGTACTAATACGATAACGTTACCAAAAACATATGCAAATTACGATGACTTGAAGAATGACTTGAATATGTGTTTAAATTCCGAGGAAGTTATGGAGTATACGATGTATTAATCATACTGCATGACTTCCTCGGTATACAAACATATGCACGCGCATGTGTGTGCATATGTGAGAGAGATTTCGAATACTACAATATAATATTAATTACTTCATTATAATATTAATTACTTCATACATGTACATGCATAATTCTAAAGTGTAAAAAGTTATACACACATAATTTTGAGATGCAAAAAAGTCTATTTTGATTTTTGTTCAGTGAGTTTTATTTCATTACAATATTAAAAAGTAAATAGGTTTACAATGGTTCTAACAAGTGTTCCTATTGTAATAGCAGATTAAATATGTAGTTTTTGTTAAATCACCAAGACTTACTTATTAGAGTAGACGTACTTAATTATTAATGAATAATTTTATATAAAAAAATAAATTTATTTTCGAAGTAAGAAAAAAAAATTTTTATTTATTTAACCTCTCATCGTATTTTACCGTGATAATTTATTATAGTAAAATGTATAATTACTTAAAGTGTTACTATTAATTAACTTAATATTAATAAAATAATATTAATTAGTGTATTAAGAACTTAATAAATTTACACATAGCATATATTTTTCTTTATTACATTTTTCTTCCAAACTAATAATATTCTCCAGCTGCAATTTTTGTTCTTCACTTATTTGTAATGTCGCGGTAAAAGACGAAAAAGGAATACTCGTGTTGCTATTTACAACAGAAACGGAAAGATCGACTCCTAAAGCTTGTAAGGAATCCGAAAGTTTTTCATATAACGTCATATTATCGGTATCGAAAATATCACGCACTGCTGTAGAAGTCATATTGTAATTTTCCAATATTCCATTCAACCACAGTTGCCGTGGAGACTTATTATTTTCCGTTCTTAAACCATGAACATTCCATGCAGATTGGAATGATGATAGCTTTTTATTAATAACATTTTTATAAATATATTGTACACAAAATCTGTGCGTGTTGTTTTCAATATCTAATAAACCTTGATCTTCTAAAGAATACAATTCAGTATAAATAGAATCACATACTTCTTTAAAGACATCGACTCATAATCGTTCAATTCTTTGATTATGAACCGATTTGCCAGTTATGTGGCTTCCTCTATGCATGCCGCGAATTGTGTTCATTAAAACGGCCACAAGCAGATTTTCGTATCCGTGATCTGACCGTACTCGTGAAGGAAGACCATAACTATTTACTGCATTCACAAAGAAATTGACGACAGGATCTGCTTGAATAGATGTTTCGCATACTAAATATATTATCAATCTGGAATATCCATCAATGCAACCATGAATCACAAAACCCCATCTATAAATTTGAATATAAATTAATTATATCTATAATTATCTATATATAATTATAAACAATCGTGTAAAAGTGTACGAAATTGTTTAAATATAAATAATTGTGTGAAAAAGATAAGAAAGAAAGGAAATAGTTTGCATAATAAAGTAATAGAAAAGAACGTATTAAACGAAAAAAAAGTGTACCTTGACAGTTTTAAATGTGCGTCTATATGCCATAATGAATTTGGAGTTGCTACTTTGTAAGTTCTTCTCCTTATTGCTTGGCTCCATCTACTCGCAGCACCAATTGGATCTATGGCGTTCAAAGTTTCTCTTGTTCGATGTCTGGGCACAAAAACTCCTGCTGCCTTTAAATACGATTGCATCATCTGCAATTTATTTTTATTATTACAATTTTTAAGTATATTAGTAAGAATATGTTGAAAATTTTTAGAGAGAGAAAGAGAGATTACTATATGTCCAGCTCTGGGATGTTCTTGATGAATTTGTGCAACAGTTATTTTTAATTCATCATCTGATATTTGTGAAAAACGCGCACGCATGAGCATATTTAATTCACGTAACTTTTTATAAATGGTACTTTTTGAGCAACCTAAGTGATTTGCCATAT